ATTCATTATTTTCACTATAAGAATATAAAAAAACATCGCATTAACAATTTACACAAATTTACGCTCTACCCTACCCATTCAACATCTATATTAATAAGGTAATTTTTTTATGTCCAGAAGATTTTCCTTAAAACGAAAACAATAGGCACATACATTTGGCTTGTTTTCTGCAAGATATGGATGTTATTATTGTCTGGTTAGGGCGCTCGACTCGCACTCTGCGGGTTCGAATCCTCAATACACCAAACATGCTCGTCCTATCAGCCGTGGGGATGTAATAACGTGACGGTCAATCTCACTGTTCCTTGGTAAAAGAGTAGCCCAAGCGTTGGCGGCGGGTGGTGTTGACATCTTCCCATTTAGTCTATCACTGCTAAATTGGGGACGGCTAGCGCAGATAGCCCTCGTGTAGCTTTGCGTGAAATCCAAACCAAACCAAATGTTATTGTCATGAGTGACTTTCTTTGATGTAAGACGTTTTCTTTTATATAATACAACCAGCAGCGAGTATATACTACTAAGGAATAAACGCATGCTAATTATTATCAGTTTAATTTAAGATATTGCATATTCCTAGCTAGAACAGTCTATGAAATTAACTGAATTGTTTACTGTACTCATTTTTAGTTCTGATCATAGTAGTCGGTTTGTTTGTAATTAACCACAAAGCAACACAATGGGCTATCTGTACTCAGCACACCACGGATATCGAAACCCGGTTTTTAGCGTTGTAAGTCAGCAGACATTCCGCTGTGCCACTGTGTGTTTGGGGGGGTCACAGTAGTCAATAGCAGTTCTTTCAAAACTACCACTACGACTGTTACGACGTAACTGAACAATATTTAAAATCATCAAAATAAAGGTAGTAATTTTATAGTCGTTCTCATATATATAAGGAACGCCCTCTATACGTGTATTTTTCTATAGCTGTCCTATGGTGAAGAACGTATCCCTTGCGTTCTCGTATGGGACTAGACCGCTTAGACCAATTAGAAGCCTGTTTAACGTTCTCTTGGCGGCCATATTTCTTGTACCGTGGAGAAAAAAGGAAATCAAACAGAAGTGGATTGTGGCTAAATTATCGTAATAATTTTCTACTGAGTAGAAAATGCCTCCGATAGCAGAAGTACAACGTGAAACTGAGGATGCCGTGGTTCAGGAGCAAAAAGATGTAGCTCCTTCTAAGCCAACCATTGGTATTATCTACCCACCTCCAGAACTAAGAAGTATCCTTTTCTGAAATTAGGCTTAGCAAACACTTCTAACTGTATTAGGCATACTATTATTGTATAATTAATTAATACCCATCCAACTGGTACTGGTACCATTACGTGGTGGTAAAGCTGGTAGACGTTAAACTTAAAACTGAATAATAATGCAGACTGAATAATAATGTTACTAAATGTTAATAAAATAATGAATTTAATTAATGTGATTTAATCATTACTATTAGAATGTTTTATGATTTCGAGTCATTTACTTATTTAGGTAGTACCAGTGGTCTGTTTATCGGTTGTATAACTAAAATGAGAAAAGCTTTGTGGAATATTGAGCACGTGATGAATGTCTTTGTAAACTAAATCTGTTTTTACTACTTTATCAATTAAGATATAGTCTATATGAAATTATTGCAGCATAGAATAAACTTTATTATAAACTGATAGAATCTTTGGCTTATCCCCCTCCTTACTTTCAAATACTTGTTTTTTGTATGAATGGAAACTTAATGTGACACTGATAACAGCAAAACAGCTAAAATTTGTAAGTGGTAAACTATGCTAATGAAACAAAATTTGCTTAAGAGTTTTACCTTTTTATACTGTCAAAATACTGACTATGTTTTATGTCACTGTGGTTAACTGATTATGTCATGATACATACTTGAAACAAGGTTAACCATTTTGTGGCTTTATCCACTTTCATCACATTTTCTAAAAGCACTTGCCAGCATTTTATGCAAACATTTTAGACCCTATGATAATAATAATATTGAAATAAACTAACCTACTCTGTACCAATTATTATAGGCCAGTTATTTCTTGCAGTCTTTATCATCTTTAATGAGGAACTGAACAAGACAAAAATGATGCTAAAATCTGTTGGCTACTGTCTTTCGGAGGTGTTTGTTTACATATTACTACACAGATACTATAAAGTGAAAGTATTCTATGTAGTTTGTGTAAATTTATATACCATTCTGTGATGAAAGCATGATAGTATCAATTAAAAAAATTAAGGCATTTTGTTAAAGTGAATGTTAGACTTCAAGTAATGATATGTATATCAAGGAAGCATTTAGCCTTTAGATGTTTTAAACTTAATCTTTTGTAAAGTGCTGGTTCCAATACTGCTTACAACAACTCATTCTGTAAGTCAGTCAGCCTTGTAAAAGAATATAATTGTCTTAACTGGAGCCTGGTTTTTGCAAATCTTAAATCTGTCTTTTTTTTTTCCCCTGGCTTCTTTACAATGTAGCACATAATTTCCTGTTGGATCACCATCTCATGATACGTAGGCCAAACACAGCATGGGAATTTAGAAAGCAGAATTTGCTGATTATTAGCAGCTGATTAATAAGTAACAGCAGGGTTTGTAATTTATTGTTTAATGTATGTGAAATACAAGTATAATACTACCTAGTCGTAAAAAGTGAAATACCAACTTGTACACAAATAGGTCCTGTGGCCACGATCTTTAATAATCTACAGAAATGATCAGTATTTATATCTGCCAAGTTGTATAATTTACCACCATTTGTTATTCATTATTGAGTGAGGAGCAGTCTACAAAACTGCTTCTGATTGGCCAATATGGGCAGCCAATCATGTATAGCATTTCATGTGGTTGAAATTGTGTTCATGCAACTGTTCATGCTGTTATATTAAAGTTTTTCTTCATTACCCATTCAAGCCGTCTCCAGCCATTATTAGTCTCAAAGTGGGTTCCTCGTCATCAAACTTTAACACATTTGTTTGAGCTTTATCCTTTCCTAAATATGTTATAGTTAGAGATACATTTGAAATTGTATTTAGGTCTTACTATTATATTTTAGTTAATTATGTATTAGTTATATTTTAAAATGCATAATTAAAAGGTTTAAACATTTTTAATATACATCATACTTCATGTCCAATGTTCCTGCTAATTTCTTAAATCCATGTGAGGAATGAATTTTTTCGTGTGCACCAGTATCAAAGCAATGTGTGGATGTGTGCTACCAGGGGTTAACTAGAAATGTGTCTGACCTTTACAGATCTCAAATTTATTACCTCTTGTCCCTTCTACTGCCCCTTAAATTCAAGAATAAAAAATCTGATATGTCAGTCTTGGCAGTTTCCTTTAAAATTGTGAATATTTGGATAAGATTATCCTACCTTTCTCTTTTCAAAAGAGAACAAGTTAAGAAATGACAACCTGTTCATCTCCAAGATCTTCCCAGTAGCCTTTTTCCTAAACCTCCTCAATGTTCTTTGTTTGGTAGGGGGCCACATTTCACACAATACTCCAATTGAGGTCTAACTAATGATTTATATAACAAAACTATGGTCTATTTTGAATTGTAGTTAATATCCACACACACACAACTTAGTTCTTTAAGCTTTACTATATGCAGTAGAACATTTTTTGAGTTCTATAAACAAATACTCCAAGATTTATTTCTTCATCCACATAATTAAGAGGATTCTCATCTAACATAAAAATTTAAGAACAACAATGGATCTATTGGTCCATCTAGGCCATCCCATCCACTAAAGTAAACTTAACAGCTGGCTTTACATGCTTTATTTTTATATATTGGTTATATATGTCTGATTTATATTTAATATAACTCAATCTTTTAACCTTATACTAATCATGATTAAATGTGATTATTCATCTAACCAACTGGTATAAATCTGTAAAATTATAGCATCTTTGTTACAACCAGACAGACCTAAGATTTTAGCAGCATATTTAACTAGCACAGATCCCTGAGGTATACCACATTTAAAATTATTTAGTTTGACTGATCTGTATTAGTAACATTTTGCTCTCATCCATCTAGCCACCCTTAAAGCTCGAATTGGAGTATTTTTTTTTTCCACCAATCTTTTATGTAGAACCCTTCCAAAAACTTTATGAAAGCCCAAATAAACCAAATCCACTTCTTTACCCTAATACAGGTAAGATACAAAAAAACATTAATAGGTTAATAAGACATGATTTCTTTGAAATGAATTCACATTAGCTCTCTTACATTATTTCACCAAGTCATATAGGTTAGAAAGGCAGGATCTTTCTTTTGTGAAGCCATTTTGACTGTCTGGCAAAGCTAGGAATTTCATCAAATGATCCTGCAAAATATTTATCATATTTTTTAAAACTTTCCCTACTGCCAAAGTAAGATTAGCTGGCCTAAAACTTCTATAGACAATTCTTATCTTTCCCCATCTCATTCCCCTTAAAATTTAGAGTAACATTAGCCACTCTACAATTCTCTGGCACGTACCCCTTGTCTAATGACCTAACAGAAATGAAAGCAAAAGGCTTTTACATCTGGCCTTTAACCTCTTTTGCAATTCTTGGATAAATGTAAGACCCTGGAGTGTTGTCTATTTTTTAAACTATAAAGTTTTTTGTTTTTTTTCAACTCCAGATTAGCATCCATATCACATACTCGTAAAACATTTCTTACAAATAAACTTTGTGTATGAGATCCAGTTAACATCCTCCTGATGAAAAAACATCATTTTAAAGCTCAGCTATCTCAGTCATCATGAAAAACTACCATTATTCAAAGTATGAATACTGATAGACTAAAACAATAATTGTCACTTTTGGTATAAAAGATTGATTGTTCATTAAGTTATTGGTAATTTTCAGAATTTTCCTCAGCATTGAAAATCAGATATTGTTGACAAGACTGCCAGTTTTGTTGCTAGAAATGGTAAGCATAGAGGGATTTACAGTTTTAAATATTGTTAATTGTGTTTTGGTTTTTGATTGATATGTACCTAATGATTTCAGTGCGCTAAATACTTCAGTGGAGGAGAATTTTCAAAAGTAATTTTTAAATAACTGCATGTATTGTGTTTCTAAATAATTAGACTTCTTGTCACTATGGGTAATCTGCATTTGTACAAGATTTTCTATAGTTGTCAACTGAAAGCTTTGGCACAATAGTACTAAACTACAGAAAAATGGATTATATCATTAAGAAATTATAGGATTTTGTATTCTAATAGTAGAAGCACTTTTATTTTATTAATCATTTTTAAGCTTTAAAATTAGTTTGTTTGGGAATCTCCTCAGATCAAATTCTCATATTTAGATGTTTGGATGAGTATTTTTAAAGAGGGAGATAATTTGTAAATATGTTAAAGTCATCCTAAGCAAATGTTTCTTTTTATAAGTTTGAGAGTTAAGTAATCATATAGACCAAGTACTATCTGAGAGGGTTAAACATACATGTTTTTGCATTAACCATTTAAATTTAGAAAATATAGGTGATTGGGATTTGATCACATAGTTTTTATTTTTTGTGTATAATATATAAAGTTGTAAGGATAATATTTATATGAGATTACTTACTATTTGTGTCCTTTTAATGAATAGATCTTTAACAGTAAAATTTTTTACTTTAATAGGTTTTTTTTAAAAATTCATGATTAAATAATATTTGTACTTGAAACTTGTTTGGTACATTTTATTGACAAATGCAAAATATGTTTGTGAAAAAAAAGGTTTGTAAAATTATTTTTAAAAATTCTGCCCCCCAAAATAAAATATAATTTTAATGGTTAATAGATTTCTTAAGACTGATATAAACAATTGTTTGTTTTTCTTCCTTTTCCAGGTCCTGAGTTTGAAGCTCGTATTCGTCAGAATGAAATCAACAACCAAAAGTTCAATTTTTTAAATCCGGGAGATCCATACCATGCCTATTACCAACATAAAGTAAAGGAATTTAAAGAGGGGAAAGGAGGTATGTATTGAAATTATGATGATTAATGTTTTTTGACACTGATTTTTTTCACAAAAATATTAAATTGCCTTTTATTAAAAGTTTGTATTTTCATATATTGACATCCTGTTCTGTGTGAATATCAGAATTTATGTTGAATTATTAAACATTTTAAGAAGTGTTGTATTTTTTCTTGATTTTCTAGCATAATCTCATAAACTTAATGATTAATATGTTTTTGAATCTGCTTTTATCCCAAAAATTCAAGGGTTGCTTTCCTCCTATTTGATCATGCTGGAATCATTCTCATTTTTAGAGTCTTTGTTTCAAGGACAAATGAAGGGGGCTATCAGTAAGTTTGTTGGTGCTTTTTCCTCGCACAAAACTGTTGTAGCCACTTTAAAGAACTTCATAAGCTCATTAAGGTTTGAAATGCCAGTGGATGGTTTTTAACCTCCTTTTACATCAAACAGCTGCTAGTTCTAAAGAACACTGAAGGATGTCAAAAGATGAGTTTCATTTGTGTCATTAAATCTTGTTTCAGTTTCTGCATAGGAAGCTTTAACAAGGTTTGGTTTTCTTAGAGTTTATTTGCAGCTGAAGTACTTCTGTGGAAGAAAGATACAATTCTACTCACCTTTCCCATAAGTTTTGAAATGGGACTTTCATAACTCTATGATGCTATATTCAATGTATGAGCAAGACAGTGAATGTGAGAGCAAGCATTAAACTTGGGCAAGGGCTTATTACTATTTAAATTCCATTCTTCAGTGACATAGTTTAATACTTCTACAGTGTTTTCTGCTGTGTGACTTTTTTGCATTAATCTTGTTTGCAAACCATAAGACTTTAATTTCCATGAGGACTTGGAAATTAAGCAACAAGTTATATGGTTCTGTGGCTTCACTAGTCCAAAGAGTCCATAGTTAAAGCAACTCTCTCAGCTGCTGTTATGTCTTTCAGCATGTGTACTTTAACATTGATGCAAAAACTTTGAATCCCTTTCAGTGCAAAGTGATTCCTGCCAGGCCTTTTTGCACTTAGAGTGGATTTCATTTATTACAGCTTTAAAATGTTTACTTTCCACTTGTGAATAAGACCTCAAGTCTTTAGCTATAAATCTGCTAAAATCATTTGTTATTCTTATGTTCCTTATTCGAGTCACCTATGATGTGTGGGAAAACTGTAATTTTTGCTTGAGTGTCCCCACTCTTTGGACTAGAGATAACAGTAGTAGAGCTTGTGTTGGAAGTTAATCTAGATCCCTTTGATGTTCCAGCATTCTGAAACTTAGGATGATTGGCTCTGTGATGGTCCAGTCAGTTGAAGTTGTATATTTGTAGTGTTTGTACCATATACAAGCACTTTAAGGCATGTTTTACAAACTACTTTTTTATTGTCCACTTTCAGAAATCCAAAGTATTTCCACATGTCTTATATTTTGCTGGCAGGTTGACAGTTTTCTTGTTCAGCTATTTCTTTTTCATGCACCTCTGTTATAGGGCAATAATCATATGGAATATTCATTCTTCGAGTTAGAGAATTAGTGTGAATTTTTGAGTTAGCTTCCGATAAGTTTACTGTCTTCGATCTTGATAAAATATTATTAGGCCCTATATCATTTTTCAAAATGGCAATATATGCAGAGATGAAAGATTCAGTCTTAATTTAAATGATGCAATTTTTGTGATTTTTGGTTTTGCTACGTAGACAGAGGTCATGGTTAAAGACCAGCTTTTGCTTATCAGCTTAGAGACCTTTTACCTTGAGGAAAAAAAAAAATTAAGACCTTCAAATGATACAGAAATCATCTTCCTACGTGCGAAAGAAGAGAAGATACAATCTATAGAATCAGGTCAAACCTTAACAAATGTATCTGTGAAACTACAAAACCTAGAGACCTGAAATTTTTGCTCCAAACAAGTCTTATGTAAGATGCTAATCATGCAAAATTTGAAGAAAGTCAGTAACAGTTATATTGGAAGAGTGTGATGACTTGAAGTGCCTCTTATGACAAAGTATCACATTATTTGTAACTATTTACTACTGCATGCTTATGCTCTGTTCTGACGAAATATTTATTTTTGTATCATTTTAATTGTTTAAAAACTGATGAAAACTATTTCTAGAAACTGGATTGCTACAACTTTATAACATAATAAGTTTGAGTACTGCTACTCTAAAGAAAAACAAATTCAGAAAAATATACAGAAGAAAGTATACAATAGGTTGTGTATTACGTATGTATAGAAAGCATACAGTAAGCACTTGTATACAGAGTATACAAAAATTGTGTTATGTATGTGTAAAAAGTATAAAATTAACCCTTTATTATGTATATGTAAAAAATTTACATTAATCCTTGTATTTTGTGTGTTAAAAGATAATAAATGTAAAAGTATTTCAGTATACTCATTCTTATTAAATAAGGGAAGGAAGTAATAATAATAAATAAAATGGTGTTAGTAATCCTTACCCTAAATATCTGATTTGTATAATGAGTTGTTCTTTGCTTTCACTCTTAAGTTCTTAGAAGTATGTATGTATATTTGTTTACGTGTCAAACATGGTTCTTATGATTTTTTTCTTCTTCTAGCACCAGAGCCTGTACCAGCAACTCCATTGAAGGTAGGTTTTAATGGTCCAAACTTTTTTAATAGAGAATGGTTATTAATCTGTCCAGATTATTCTGACTGAAAAGTGAAATCTGTATGTTACAATAAAAATATTAAAAGTTGAGTATCATCATTCATTATGAAGTGTATCAGTTTTTTTGGAGAGTGTTGTTCTGTTGTATCTTGACTGATGGCGTGAAAGGTTTAGTTGTTAAATACTGAAATAAACAAAAAAAGAAAGAAAAGTTTGTTTTTGTATAGTTTGTATCTTTGCTGTAATGGAAACTACCTTTTCTATAATGCTATTGAATTCATACAGCCAAGGTGAAAATAAGATTACTCACTAGTTATTTTACTTCTCTATAGAAAATATCTAGAATTTTATTAGCCTTTAACCATAATGAGTCATAACTATTGTATTGGACACTTATAGTGTTTGAAATGTTTTTCCTCCTAAAATGTTAAAAATGCTGTTGCAATTGTTATTACAATTAATTTCAGTTAATTTTACAACATATTTTTATAGTTATCTTCTACATTAGTAAGTCTGAACATATGAATGATAAATAAACAACTTTTTTTTTTAGCCTACTCCAGCAGCTCCAGCTCCAAAACCTGAAGCTGTCAAAGCCCCTGAGCAAGCTGTTGTTCCAAAGGAACCTCCTCCAGAGTTTGAATTTTGGGCAGATCCACCATCTATTTCAGCATTTGACCTGTAAAGATACTTTCATAATTTTCTTTTGCTATTGAACATGCATATGGTTTATTAATCTATTTACTATAGCATTACAGTACATTAACACTTTCCAAAGAGGTAGCAGTAATTGCAATTCCTACATTTGCATGCATAAAAATTAACAACAAATATCAATGTATCTGAAATATGACACTTCGAAAGTAAAACATGATAACTGTTAAACAAATACCAATCTAGATTTAATTGTTTTGTTAAACAGGATTTATAATGAAACACAAACTGCTCCATGACATGCCTATAACTGTTAACTTGAAAAAACCATGTTTCATACACTATATATATAGTCTACACATACTCTGTAATTCAAAGTTCATCATGTTTTCTTTCTCGTTCATTTATAAGTGATTATTCTGAAAAGAGAAGCTTATAACCAACATTTGGAATACCTTTATATCTTTACATGCTATTATGTTCTTTATCTGTTTCATTCCAACAAACAAACACATTTCCAAACAGCATCAAATGTAACCTTGGGCACTATTCTCCTATTGAAAATTTTTTGTAATATATATAGATGTATGTAACATTTATTACTCATTGTTATGAAACTTACCTCTATTCCTTTTAAAAGTTATATACAGCTGTTTCACGTGCCTACATTAAACTCTGGTCTCAAGTCAGAGTGAAGTCTGTTGTAAGACTTTATTAATTACTAATTATCAGTAGGAGTGTTTGTAAAGCAAAAAATAACTACCAAAGTAGTTACTGCAATGAAAAAAACAACAAGCATACATAAAAAATATAGCTATTACTCAACTGCCTGGGTTTCTTCCTTTGCCCATCTAAGCATTGGTCTGGTTTTTTCTAACTTGTTTCAGTCTTTTATACCTCACTTAATCATCCTTGACAATATTTGTCTTATGACACTCTAGCTATGTCTGTGTGCCCACTATCCTGGTGCTGTATATAAGCACCTCATTCAGATAATGTTATCACTTTTCTCGACAAAGCATTCGCTAATGGGTTTCTCTGTGTTACGATCATTGGGAGATACATTAAGCCTTCTTCATGTTACATAGTTGATTTAGAAATAAAAAAATATTTTTTGGCAAGTTGCATAAATACAGCATAAATTCCAGGAATATTATTTCTGGGACGGAGGTCTCTCCTGTCTCACCTCTCATATCTAGTGTCACTCCCAGTTGAGACTGTCAGTGAGCGTATTGGAAAGAGATGGAGACATATATATAAAGTTTGGTGGTATCCCTGAAGGGGGACTCTGAGGCTGCAATTGAGGGTAATCCTGGACATTCTGGAGAGAATTTACATTATTCACTTTTTCCTGCACCTTTTATTCTGTTGGCTTCTCAGGAGGCCACTTTGGGATAAGCTACCTTAGGCTCTTTTTCTTCAGTTGGTCCATTGAGTGTATGATATTTTGGGTCTTTCCCCCATTGCTTTTGAGCCTGCATCTTACTTGATGGATGAAAGGTATGGGAGCAAATACTTTTCCCTCTATCCACTGACATTTTGGTTCCTGCAGGGAGGTTTACTGCCCAGTTACAAGAGGATACAGCTATGCCTTATCTGGCATGGTTGTTGGAACTATGTGTGATTTATCTTACCACTGTTAGGTGGAAGCATATTTTGACTCTCAGAGAATACATCTGTTCCTCTATGGACTTAACAACTCTAATGTCCAATGTGTTGTTTTCCTAAAACTACACTTTGTTAGAAGACACTCAGGATTGCTAAGTCCATGGATGACGAGCTGGACCCATTGTTAGCATGCATATTGGTTCGATTGTCAGCTTCTACATTCATCCCTGTTGTAGTGGGCGTCTCGACTTTCATCGGCTACTACAGGGGGTCAGAGTTCCGCCCCTATTTGAGGGTCCCGACCCCAACATCAGCCTGTTGGTCCACTGGTACCCAGAAAAGATTCTTTCCATATCTAAGAGTTCCGCTGCTCAGTCAGAATGCCGCCAGTCGTGTTGATGATTATTGTATGCCTTCAGGGTCTGTGGGAGCTTGGCTCTGAAAATTTCTGAATGTGTGATAGATCGTAATTACAGAATAATGGGCATTATAGGTCCTTGACTCAGTATCAGTCATTCAGTTCACATCTTCACCACCATTATTCACTCAACCTGTAGGGTTTCCGTCTCCTGCAGAAATTCTGATTTTATAACTTGGTTCTAGGGCTATCAGAGTTTGGTTGGTCAGGTAGCTATCTTAACCACTTCTGCTAGGTCATACAGAGGGGTGAGTATTTTCATTGCTACATTTGTCTTTTCTTCACCTTTCAAGAGTCCCTTATCTCGTTTTTACAGGATCCCACTCTGTGGCGAGTGTTACTCAGGCAGGTATGCTTTTATCAAACCAATTCTACATTAGCAAACACTAATTCAGTATACATTATCTAGTTTGCAACAGGCTCTGTAGAAATGAGGTGTTCCATAAGACCACCTAGAGGCTGACCGGGTGGTATTGCTGGACCACCATTCATGGACTATCATGAGTAAAGCAAGGGGATTTTGCCTGTCCATGCTGATCATTGGATTGAATATATTAGGGTCAGTTTGCTTTTGAAAACTTAGGGAACTTGGTTCACCTATTGCACCATTTCTTGAGCACTGTCCCTCAGGCCTCCCAAATTTACATTCTCTTTCCCCCCTCCCGATTTTACTAGTGGAGCTAGAGAGTCCTTATCACACACTGTTTCCAGTCACTGAGGTGATGGACAGAGGCTTTTCCTTCAGTGTTAGAGTGAATTTGCCCCAATATTGGAAAAGAGGGAGAAGTTGGGGCCCTCCTACCCAGTTCTCTGGTTGTTTTTTTTCCCAGATGTCAGTAAGAGAGGCACTAGCCTACTAAAGAGCCTACTTGTAATACTGGTTCAGATTTGATGCTCGGCTTTCTGGCTGGGTTGAGTGTGGCCTTTCTTTTTGATCAGTATTCGTTCAGTACATTGTTCATGGAGGAGGGTCTGTTGTCTTCTCATAATTCTGAATGCAGATTGGTCCCATTCTGGTTCCTTGGTTGATCACAGTTGGCTCCACATCCTCCCAATAATTCTGGGGGCAAGTGGAATTTATCTTGCCCACACAGTTGAGAAGTGAGGATGAGTGTTCATGATTCCAGACCGGATGAGTTCTGTTTCCTCTGGTTGAGTAAGGCATACAAGTGCCTGGAGTGTTACCTTTTGGATTTCTTCAGGTTAAGGAGAAGGTTTGTCCACTTTAGTGTTGCTTCCCTTCTCATCATGATTTTGGTGGTCTGGAAAGCATCACTCTATAGCTACAGGCTAGGACCCACTCATAAGTGTATATATATTGAGGTCCAATTGCCCTAGCCAGCAATGTGGGATATTAGGACCACGGCCCTATAATTCTAACCCAAAGCAGTTGAGCCTCAGGTGTCTGGTTGGTGTCTAGCCAATAGTTATGATAAATCTTGTAAAGTTCCACCAACGGTATATGAATTAAGTTCCAGGTGAAGAGCATACCTCTTCTGGATGTAGTGCGATTCCCCCACTAGGATGCCAATCTTTCTGTTGGCACACCCATGATCTATGCAGATGCTTTTTGTATGAATAATGCCCTCATCAGCCCTTCCGCCTTATAGGTGTGGGATTCTAGCTGTAGTGTGAGAAGAGGTATATTTTGGAATTTAACATTTTCTTAAATCAAAAATGTATTTCTAATAATACTTACTCCCTACTAAATAAGCAAAAAATGCATACAAAGATCACAGCTTTGTGACTATGTTTAAACATTTTATCTCCATAAATAAAAATTGCAATTATAAGCAAAGAAAAAAATCACAGTTAAAGGTAGCAGTTTGGATTTATTATTATATGCCAGGCTGCTAAGGGTTAACAGAGTCAATTTACAAAGCAAAATGTGAGGGATTTCTCTTGCTTAAGTTGTATAATCTGAAGAAACAAAAATATACTTCTGTTGGCAAGATCTTTGTGCACATTAAAGAATATGGTCTCATTTTAACACACCGTAACAGTTTACTGTTCTTTCCAGTTAACCAAAAATCAAGTAATACTAATTTTGAGATTGAATGGATTTGAAGAAGCAAACTTATAAGTTAAAGTTCTTTATTATTGATATTTTCATTGATAATTAATTCAACAAACATAATTCAGATGCTCAGAATGTAATAATGTAAAATTCCTATATTACAATCACAGTCATAAATAGTGACTGATTTGTAACGTTACTTCATTGTACAAAGTTTCATTTTGGAAACAGATAATTTCCTCTTAGCTATTCATGGATTAAAAACTAAAAAACTGTACTGTTAACATTGCTTTTGCAAACTAATTGTGATTATTGTATGAGTAATTTGAACAAGACAGGTATTCTCCTGCAGTAGAATAGATTAAAAGGAATTTATCAATAATGTTTAGAATTTTATTTTATTTTTGAGTGACATTTAATATATATACAAATTATAGATCAAAATCCATTAACTTTTTATTTTGGAATATTTTGAAAACAGGATGAGATGCCTTAAAGCTCTTTTGTGGATGTCAGTGGTCCAATTTATTCATGGTTTGATATATCATTGAGTTCCTTATTATTTAAACACTAATATGTCTATATGTTATTCATGGTCAGAAAAATAATTCAGATACCATACACATAGACATTCAGAGTTTACTCACCACAATTATATTTTTTTGTCTTTTAGAGATGTTGTCAAATTAACAGCACAGTTTGTGGCAAGAAATGGACGACAGTTTTTGACTAACTTGATGAACAGAGAACAACGAAATTACCAGTTTGATTTCTTGCGTCCTCAACATAGCCTGTTTAATTATTTCACAAAGCTACTAGAACAATACACAAAGGTAAAATAAAAGTATTATCAACCAAATTTTATTTAATGAAGATTGAAACTTAGATTATTTTTTGTAATAGAATTTTATATTTCATCAGTTTAAAATGAGGCATAAAAGTATGTGTGTAATATATTGGAAGGAAAAATGTATACTAATTTTGTTTCATTTGAGGAATGGGAAATGTCATAAATAAATATATATACGTTTTTGTTTTTTTTTCATTTACACGTACTGGCTTCTATGAAACTAATATCACTCCCTCATAACATATGGGGTACTGGCTTCTATGATACTAATATCACTCCCTCATAACACATGGGGTATGAGTGTATATTTCTCATGCTGAGACTAAAACCTTTCAAGAGAAATGATTTTGCTTTGATACTTTTTACATTAATGTACTTAGACTTTAAATAGCTCACCAATGATTGTTTTCTGTTAATATTTGACAAAAACAGAGATCATTGTGATAGAAATAAGATTTTCAATTATTTGATACTGAAGTTTTTAGAAAATGAAAATAACCTAAATTTAATGAACTCCTTTATCAAATACAAACCTGGGAAGAAATCTGTATTTTTCAATCACTACATTTATTGCTTCATGTTTTATATTCATACACTGCAATTCACTTCAAAGTATGTGAAAAATAAAAGTTCTTTTTCTAGTTGAAAATTAGAATAAATTTCTTTTTGAGATTAAACAATCTACAAAAGTACATAAAATTGTAAGTAGTACTGTTAAGCTTATCTTGTTTTTCAAACTGATCAATGATAATTTCATACTTCCACTACCTTCTTTTAAATAAATTTTATATGTTTATCCTTTTCTAAGGATAAACACCATTTCTTAAGTAATTCTTAACACATTGATATGTATTTTATGTTGTTAGTTCTTAAGAAATTGTTTGCATTTTTTTTTTCAGTTTTATAAAAATGTAGAAAATTATTTATATTTTTCAAACAAAATTATCAGTAATAGCTCTTGCACCAATTATGTATTTGATTTGGTAAAACGGTTTACCTTCTTTTGAGGGAGTATCTTTATTACTGCTAAGTCTGATTATTTTGTTCAAAGAAAGGTTTAATTCAAACTTTTAATTGCATCATATTGAAACTGTATATTCATGATTTATCAATGTTTTTTGTCACCTAGATCTTGTTTATGGTGGTGTATATGCTCAGTATTTAGTGCTTATTGATTTGGTTTTAGATTTTCAAGAACTTAACTGTACATTATATTTATATTTTATCACAATACGGATTGGTGAGAGAAAATAAGTCACTATAATAATGTTTTTGCAGATTTTAATCCCACACAAAACTTTGATGTCAAAGTTAAAGAATGAAGCTGAATCACCAAAATCTGTAAGTGCATGGTTCAGATAAAGGAATTAAACTTTCTTTTTCTTATCAACTAAGAGTGATAAAAGTTTAAAATGAGAGCCTTTTGTTAATTAATAGTTTATAATACATACAATTTTAATTTTTGTCACCAGACGTCACAAGCTTAAAATACAATAAATATTGGGAACTGGTTATTAGTATTTACTGTCTCATTGCTTGTCAGAGAAGATGGTTTATTTTGGTACTTAATGATAAATTGTAACTACCAAATATAAAATGATGTTTTTAAGTATGGAGTATCTTTCTTTTAAGAATTATGAAGCTACAATGAGAAAAATATTAATTATTTCACAGTTACATTGACAAAAAAAAGATCCACAACAACAAATAGAAGAATCATTAGTATTAAAAGCTGCATTATTATTATTATTATAAGAAATAATTACCTTAATTAATTTGTAACTTGAGCTTGTCACTAACATAGCCTAGTACAACTTTTTGAATGTTTTTTTTTTCTTTGAGCAAATTATGTAAGGATTTGACTTTGTAGTGATAGTAACAAACAGATAGCAATTAAGTGCAAGTCATAATAAACTTAAATCATTAGTTAATTTGTGAAATTATGGTATTTTAAAAATGAAATGTCTCTAACAACTCATAGCCTGGTATTTTATGGTTCCACAATACTGTGAGTACTTTTAATCTTGAAAGAGTAACAGTGTTCATGAAATGGCCTGATTTTATTCTTTTACTTCCATTCATTTTTTTTTAAATTACACAAAATAAAAGTGTTTAACATAGGTGAATTTGAATTTTATGTGAAATTTCCTTTTTAACCTTGTGCTTGTAAAGTATTATTTATATTTAGTAATATAACCCATGTTCATAGTTTTCCAGAGCATTAAATATTCACATTGACATGCAATGTTGACTGATCAGACTATTTTCCACTTAATGCGGTACAGCTTTAGTATATTGAAAAAGCTCAAGTCAAGGAATTTCCTGGAAAATACCAGGTGTCCATTCTTTTCAGCTCATTGCTGATTGGCTAGCTATCAAATTGTCACAAACTATATAGCTCACTTATTTGACTGACTTTTTTTGGAAGCCACAGAAATAACCACATCATGGTCAGCAATGGAAAATAAACTTGAAGTGGGTATAATTTATTTGGTAACTAAAAATCTGGTTGACACAAGAAGAAAATCAGAAGATAAGTTTGAACTAATTGAAAATATTCCTAATCTACAGCAATTATGCTATTCTTTTGTATTTATCTTTGATGCTACTTACCACATTGTAAGTAACCTGCACTGAAATTCTTTTGAATGGTTTAATATTAGGCTTAGTTTTCTGTGTTGACCTAAGTTATATGTGTGTGTATATGTGAGTCTTTTTGTTGTTTGTATACATTTTACTTTCATGATTAATGCTTGAATTTGTTTTTATTTTGTACAATTCAGCAATTGAAGTCCATTGGATTTATAATTCTTCTACCACTGTTTCGCAAATTTGTGGTTAATTTAATTTATAAAATTCAGCTGTTGAAGTTATTTTGTATTTTCTGTATTAATATGCACTGGTTCTTTTGACTGACCCTATATGGGAGAAAGAATATTGACTTATGTTCCAAATTTACTACATATATATCTACACAAAATGTAACTAGCATTTATTAACATGCATAAAGCCAATATACACAAAAAAATCAGATGAGTTATGAAGGTATTTGGACTCTAAACATATCTGCAAATTGACAATGTCAGTCTGACTCAGACTCTGACAAGATTAAATGAAGGTGACATTTGTATGAAAAATAAAAATACTTTTGTTCATCATACAGTGTGAATATTGCATTTGGATGATCTCTAGAATCTCCAAAATGCATATCTACAGTTTTTTTCCAGTATCCCTTTATACTGTATCTGATATTTACTCTCTGTACCAATAACTGTTGCTAATTCAACAGTGTAGGGTAAAATGAACAGTTGATAACCCTGATATCAAATACATATTACAGTATTGAATAGCACTGTAAAAAGTCGTGGCTTCAGCACTTTGATCCCACCTGTGCACATAGGGGTAAAGGCTACAGGTACTTTTGGTTATTGTTATATAATTTTATATGTAGTATTACAGTGTTGGTTAATAAAAGTATACATAAAATATTTTATATCACTTCTTAATCATAGCTCTTCCTTTTCTTATCTCTTATTATTTTTTCCAGATCTTGGAGCAAGTAAAATATAGGGTAGAGTGGACTAAGCACCAAGAAGAGCAGAAACGAAGAGAGGAAGAGGAAGCAGAAAGAGAACGGGGTAAAATAATAACTTTATTTCAGAAAAGCTGAGATACCCATGCTTTGTCCAAGTTATGAACTTAAAAGAATGTGGGGGTGGATGATATGATAAATAACACAAAAATCTTAACTTTAAAACGGTTTATTTATAACATAACGTATTTTTATAATATTCATTATTATATCACCAAAAGTTTTGTGTAAACTTCAACAACTTGCTATGTATATACTTAAAACATGGTACACATTGTGCGATGGTCAGGGTGGCTTTGTGGGAAGAGCCAAAGTAGAGTAGGTAGAGGTGCCTTCCATCAACAGCTTTCAACACCCAACTCTTAATGGCCTTAATTCATGGTCATTGGCTGCAGAAGTGTCTTATGGGATGAAGTTTTAAGGTCACGAATCAAAGTAGAAAGTGGGTATAACTCAAGAAATGGCTCTTCATATCACCATTATGGTGGCTGTTGTAGTATAAACTTCATCTGAGTTTATGTATTATTGCAATAGTAACAGTCATTCTTTTTTCATTGCATTCCTCCATAGAGAGTGCTAGCGTACTCTCTGAGATATATAAGATGTCTGTGTGTATGTTGTGTTATAGAAAATGTAATAAAGTTTTTGGTGTATGTGATGCTATCTATGAATGTAGTTAACATTAAATTGCATCAAAGAAGGTAAATGCTCAATAACATCAATAATGGGGTTGTGGACAACACAATAACATGCCCTTTTTCCTAACTATCATCCCACAAAGTTTGGTTGAGATTGGCCCAGCAAACTAGGAGTAGTTAGGTAATAGACAAACAGACACACATTTTTTTTTGTACTGTATACATAGATATATATATATATATATAGAAAGAGAGAGAGAGCTATATAATAAGCTATGTTTTATTTTTAAGAACAAAGTTTTCATAAACATAGCTTACATGCTTAGATAGAAATATGTGAGCTCTTACATTTTTCAACTACCATAATATATTAGTATAATATATGCTATTAGTGTATGGCTTGCTGATTACATTATTTTTTAGGTGACCTTCAGTTTTAATTTTTTATCATTAAAAAAAGCATAAGCAAAAGAACTTGTATAGAATTGCAGAGGATTTATAGATAAAATAATAATATTGTTGCAGTGGGTTATCAGTACTGGTTTTTCATGTTACGTCCATAATGTGAGTGTGCTTCGTGGCTGTTTGTTGAAATTATTGTGTTTCATGATTTTAAGTTGCATAACTCTGTCAACATGGGCTCAGTCAATTTGACCAACCACATGACCTCTTTGTACTCGATTAAAGTCTTTATAGATTTAATACTTCTAACTTTCAATATAGTATGTATATCTTCACAAAATATAACAGTCCTTTCAATTGATATCATAAGTCTTTCACATACAAAAAATCATATTTTTTAGGGAAATATTTTTAATAAAATAAAATAAAGATTTGTCCATTAATATATTGAGTATTGGTTTTGAATAGTCCATGTGAAAAGTAATTTTCTTGTTAAAATTAAAAATACTTTTCCTCGTATCAAAAATCTCAAATTTCTTTGTGTAATCCCTAAAACCTAAATGCATTTCAAACTTTTTTTTTCAGTCAATCTATTTATAATTAAATTTTATGGTTTTATTGCTCTTTGAACAGTGTCTAACTACCATCCATGCCATTATAAGTTGTAAATCACTTGGAGAATATGCAGGTCACATTACAATATTGAATTACATCACCCGCAAGTTACTACGAGCAGCTCACATGCATGATTTGTGAACCATTTTGATTATATTATTATTATTACATATTTTTACCTAAGCTAGTCTTAAATAATTTAACAAGATCTGTATTTTTAGATTTTAGTTACTTTTATAATAATAACTAAAGAATAAATATTAAAAACAAGAAATAAAGTACTTGTCCATGACAGTTAAGCCTACTTTTTTTATACTAATGGTAGTAACACACCAAATACTTTTTATTTAATAAAATTTTGCACCAAAAAACGTATACTAATAACATGCAAAACGTGGACAATATCCTTTTACTCTCAAATTTTTTCTGGCTTTCTAACTATGCAACAAGAGCTGTTACAAATTCATCAAAGCTAGTCGTTAACTTTCCCACGGGAACAATGTTGGTACTCTGAGTGAAATTGACATCTAACTGTTCAGAACATTATATAATGCGTCATTTGATTGATGAAAACCTTGACTTTTTATTGGTTATGGGTAATATATAATGAAATGTAAGAGAGAACTGTCAACAAATTATGAAAGAGAGGATTTGACAGGTGGGTGTGGCAGGAGGGGTCTGATTTTCTATTCGATGGCTCTTGTAACCAAACAAAATTCAAGACTAAAAATTATGGTTTGTTTGAACAATAGCGATATTATATAGAGTAATTTACGTTTAATTTCATACTTTTTCGAGTGGTGTTGGATAAAATAGGAATGATGACATGCTAAGAGAAAATGTGTCACACTAGTGGAAATTCAAGGTTCTTTTTAATATTGCCTTGCAGAATTAAGAACTGATACTTCTATACTATTATAATATGCATTCTTAGCTAAGATTTTATGCTATTCTAATCGTATAATGTAAATAAAAAATAATTTTGAATGTAAGACACTAAAACCTAGTGTCATGCACGGTAAAGGATACCTGTGGCGATAGGGTTAAAGCAGAAATTCATAACAAATTTCAATGGTCTAAATATCTTCATAAAGGAAAATGTAAACATTGGTAATATTAATGGATCTGTATGTAGTATAACCAGGTAACTTCAGAAATAATTAAGTGTTCTAGTTTACTTATTTGAACAGGAAAATTAATAGAAAAGCTGACTTACTTCATTATTAGAGGAAAATATTTGTTAACACAAAGTTTTTAAATGCAGGTTAATTCTTAGATTTTATTTCTTTCTCTAGTTCAGTATGCTCAAATAGACTGGCATGATTTTGTAGTAGTAGAGACGGTGGATTATCAACCCAATGAGCAGGGTAAGTTTTTTGTTCTTTTTTTTTGTTGCTTTTGACATGTAAGTCTTTTTCTTTTAATGAGAAATTGGTTATTGTCATGTGAAAAATGTAAAAATTAGATTAAAATTGGCAAATTTTCTATGACACTATTTTTGTCAAGAGATCAGTATTTGCAGATTTTGCAAACAAAAAACATTCTTTTGAAAACTTTTGCCATTTATTTTCAAACATAATCTGTATAGTTCTTACTTGGCAAATTGCTAATGTTAAGGTGATCACATTGGTATATTGTTTATTCTTATAAACAGTAATCTGTCAAGCTGTTAAACAGAAAATGAATTCAAAGGATTCCATTGTTTTTAGATAAGCCATAGTATTTTTCTTATCTTCAACGGCCAGTTGTCATTAACCATTTCAAAATTATCCTCTCCATACACAATAACCTCACACATGTGAAATAAGGGTAGATGACATAAACAGAACCTTTCCCAACCTTCAATATTCTCAACTTGGTGTATAATGCACACACTGAGTAGTGGAAGATATGAAAAAGCTGCTCATGCTGGATGCCCTTTTGATAGATTTAGATGAGGATTTAATCCAAGTAGTTATTCCTTTAACTTGATCTATACAATTTTGTATTGGTGGAACTGAACATGAATTTATAATAGCAACATTAAGTGAGTGACCCATGCAGTGAGTGTATAAAGCCTTGCTTTCCATATCTCAAATTGGTTTTTCGATACCAGATCTTTTGCCAGTCATGGTGGATGCTTATCATATCCTTGCCCACTCAATTTATTTAGAGATAATCCAAAACCAGTCAATACCATTGTAATTGCACATATAATATCTGGTGCTCTGACCCTCTGTAGCTTAAGAAAGCCAATAAATTCTTCCCTTATTACACAGTTGCTATCTACAAAGCTGAGACATTGATTATGTTCACATTGTGAGAAGACACTTCATCAGCAAGAACAGAGTAGAATGCAGCCTTTTTTTATTTCAACAATAATTTTTATTGAAATGACATTGTATCCTATGGCATTGATGATGTCGTTTTGTGAGCGGGAAGATAAATATGTATCATTTTTTGCCTTAGGGTGATACAAATGAGCTCTCCAATATTTCATCATTTTCAGCAAGGCCAGAAAATTGCCAGGATTTTTGGAAGAATTTACATCTTTGTATTGCCACAAGATGTCAAGCCTTGTTTTCTTAAAAACAAAATGGTACAAACAATTTGATGAAGAATATGTTTATTCTGAGTTATATGTGATTGAAGGGCATTGTTGGTAATAATATCAATTATACTGGATGATGGATGTTAAATGGAAGCCTTTAAACCATCAGCAGCCTGCATAGAATCATGATGATAAACAAACTTAGAATGGTTGCTTAAAGTATCACTAATTCTTATCCAGTTGTTAAATGATTTGTTGACAAGTACTACTTTATCATGTTGACTATGCACTGGGAGAAGGGTAGCATATAGACCACAAAAAATGCCATCCAATTTTGAGATGTATAATAACCATGGATAATTTTCAGTTATACCCATGAGAAAAAGTGGTAAGAAAATCTTTTGAGGAATATTTTTCAGCATTTGATACATTACTAATACCTTGGCATTTTTCATCAAGGGATTTTGTTGGTGTCAATAAGATGACAACGTCACTGCAAGGCTCAGTGACTACAGAAATACCATAACAAATCTCTGAGGAATTCATGATTGCTGTAGTGCAATGCGATGATGATGGTCCAAGAAGAATGGAGTTGTCAGTGCTTGAAGTAGTTTGAGGCTCAACTAAACCAGTTTGCATGTCATCAGTGTCATCACCACAAGAATATAACTCAATAGTGTCAACCTCATAACTGTCATATTCATTGCCGGAACCGGAGAAAGACTGAGATGGTGACTGGGTTGTGTCATTAGAAGTGTCTGAAAATAAATATATAGCAATTTTAAGAAGGCAACCAGTATATAGCTTTAACATAACATTATAGTTTATGATTCACATAATGTATAGTAAAGATTGTTGTTGTACTCATCTATATATAGACAAATTATGATATCAAAATAAGATATTCAGGGATTAAACACAAACTTTGTAATTTAAAACACCAAAAATATGCATAGCACAACACAAAATAGCTATTTTAATTGCTTGTCAAACACTATATTAGCTACTAAAACACAAAGCTACATGGTACTGTACCTTGGTCATCATATGCCAATCCTTTTCTTTTGCTGGCAAAATCATTCGTATATCACTGCAATCAGTTTCATGTAGGCATTTCATTCTGTTCAGTAGAATGTATTGAAGGTCTAGCTTATATGTCGTATACTGTGTAGTCTTGCAAGCCAGTCTCTTACTTGAATAGTGGGTAATTACGGAAATAAAAACCTACGAAAATTCTTAAATCTCAAACCCCAAATCACTTTATAGTTCTATTTCTGTGACATGAAAACCTTGTTTATAATCAAAACCATGTGTAGCTGTTAGGTATACATGACTGTTTCAGTTTTAATTTATATAGTGTGGGTGTCATACATAGTTATTATAAGAAGCGAGAGTTTATGGCATGTTTGTTTATGAATCAAATGTTGTGTAGTGTGGACGTTCAGTTGTTATGAGTTAGTGATTTGTCAAAATGTTGCATCATGATACTAGAACTTCCTGAATTTTTCTCATAAAGGTGTCCTGGTCTGGTTAAAGTAAAATGTGAAACTTGAAAGTAACTCGTGTAGGAATTGAATTTCAAATTTTGGGGGGGATAAATTGATCTTAAGATTTTTTACAATAATTATATTTGTTCTTGATTCACATTTGTAGCCAAAAACAATTATTTTATAAAAGTGATGGTGACAACATATGAAAAGCCACAATAATGAATAATAAAAGAATAATTTACTAATAGCTGTGATTTTTATGAGATGTTAAACGAAAAGTAATGATTAGAATGTAGGAATTTTAGTATTACTTAAAGTATAAGTTAATAATTATTGGGAAATTATATATTTATGTTTTAACACTAGGTCTTTTTCCACCACCTACTACTCCTGATGAAGTTGGAAAACGAGTGCTGGCTCAAGAACGTGGAGAAGAAGGGGTAATTTGTGTTTACTTTTTGGCTGTAAATATAAAAACAAATTTATAAAATGTGTATTATCATTGTGATTTTTAACTTGTGCAGTTTATGAAAGATAGCTGCCTGGATATCATTTTGATGGCACATAAGTGGAAGTAATATAATTCAAGGTTACTTGTAAAGAAATTTAATGGTGATAAAGCTCTTAAGATTGAAATAAAACTATTAACTGTAACTAATAATATAGAGCAAATACAGCATAATGTAACTGTGTTTCAGTGTTATAGATTTTCTTAAATTAGTAGCTCTTTGAATTTTAATTGAAAAGTCTTAATACTATTAAAAAATTCTTAGTAATATAGATGTAATCACTGACCCTAAATTGACTCTTGTCACTACATAATTTCACACTTGCCAATTAACTTTTGAAAACTATATTCTAGATTTTCTGATAGATATAAAGGACATTCCAAACAGTTTTAGACACAATACAAATTGTATAAGACCTACAGTAAACTGTTAAAACCACTTAAAACTAGATTGTATCTGTTGCTTTTGAACATTGCATTCATAACAACTTAATATTTAAATATTCGTAAGCATCAGTACAAGCTGCCTTTATAATATATTTATTTCTTGAAATAAAAACAAGATATAGTACTTGGGATACCAGTTACAGGCATGTTCTATATTATTACTATGGAATTTATTTCCTTGTTGAATAACTATCATGCAACATGTATTTACCCATGGGTACATGTATTTATTTAGTAAAGCTTACAAAATATACAAGAACAGTTTTTATGCATCAGTGTTGAGCATAGAGAGAGAGAGAGTTTTAAGTTTCAAAAATTTCATACTAATAAGCAGTTCTAGTTGTATTTTAACAATGTTCACAGTACAGTTGCCGTTCATGACAATTGATTCTGTATACATGTGTATATATATCACCTATATTACTACTACGTTTGTTGTGTCTCAGCTATTCTGATGACCCCTGGTATTAGGCAAAAGGCCTTGACAGCATTGGATATGCCAAATGTATTGTGGTTGGCATGTAACATATTCTCCTTTCCTTTCACTCTTGGGTTCTTAAAATGATGGAAAGTATATGTATATGTCAGGTTTAAGAGTCATTTTGTATACTAAAGCCAGTATTTACCAAATAAATACAAGCTGTCGTGAAGCAGGCACTTATTGTGACCATTGACACATGAATATTTTCAGTGACAAGGTAAGAAAGATAATCCTCATTTTCTAGATAAAAGGTGAGAAACAACTATGAGATATATGCCCATATTTGGTTCTACAGGACTTGGTCAATTATAATGTAACACCACAGCAATGAGATTCCACTAGCTCTATTGCAGTCAATTTCAGCCTGTAATTTGTCAAATTTAGCTTTATTGTTAAGGCTGGCACCAGCAGACACTGCTTGAAGGCCTTAATTTTCATAAGTGTGGAGTTCTGTAAATAATATCTTTATTAAAAGTATTTTCAGCTATGTTACCAATTTGAAACTAGCTAAAGTAAAAATTAAATTGTTGCTTCTGATTAAACAATTTATCTGTACCTCCTGTATTATCTAGTGTATTTTATTGAAAGTTATGTTTGGCTTATAACAAATTGTTAATTATTTTAGGAAGAAGTAGAAATGGAAGTTGAGTCAGAAGATGAAGATGAAGGTGGAGAAAAGAAAGGTGACAGAGAAAAAGAAACTCCAACTGCTCCATCCAAACCTGGGATTGATAATACTCAGGCAAGATTTTTAGTGATAATAATATTTTGAGTGCTAAAATTTAATCCTTTTCAGCCTAGAGACACAGAAGTGGCTGCTAGCTCTGTGCTTATGTTAAACTGAAATATCGTAAATAGTTTCATAATTGATGTACAATAACTTTTGTGATACAGCATGGTAATCAGTGAACCTTTGCCATGCTTTTATATTTTTTTGAAGACGTATACATAAATGGTACGAGTAGGTGCATATTGTTATATGGCTGCACTGTGTAACTGTAGCTACTAGCACTGTGGTCGACCATAATGGTGGCTTCCTTAGAGCTAAAAGCTCATGATGCTGAGGAAAAGTGTTCTTGTATCTGAAACAAAAACTTTTCAATTTAATTGGCTGAAAGCATAATAAGGTGGAGTCCTTACATCCTATGAGATTGAAGAGAAAGCATTCAAACAATATCTGCCAAGAAATAGGAAAGTTGTATTGGTTTCCTTGAGATCATATGATAAAGGCCTGTTGCTCCTGCAAATGAAATCAAGTTGACAACGATTTCAGTAAAGAAGACAGTGATATATACATAGAGAAAACAGATTGTTGAATAGAAAGTAAACAGATGAATAAGATAATATAACTTAAGTTTCTCTAGGCTCAGAAATTTGGGGTCCAAACATAAAATGCGTACTTATTTGACTTTCATTACTTTCATTGTGTTTCTTCAAATATTCATTCATTTTTAGGTACTGTGGCTTGTCACAAAAAAAACGACTAAGAACATGCAGCAGTATCAAAACAAATGGCAGATAACTTTGTTTTAGTCAACAATCTTTGTTATATTGACAGAAATGATCTGAATTTAGAATTTCTTATTTTGGGGGATAAATTGTTTTTTAAGGTTGGGAAATTTATCAGTTAAAATATTTTATCATATGAGAAAAGTGAAAAAAAATCTAAATCAAGGCATAATTTGTATCAGGAATATTATTGTTTTTACAGAATAATAAAGAAACCCTTCCACTACAATTATTCAGAATTATTTGAGCATAAAATAATGTGGTTTGATATTCACTTGAAGCAGCTGTTAAAAGCACACAGAAGAACAAATTTATATTTCAACTTATGTCACTTATCTTGAGTTTGGGTGTTTGATTGTGCTTATTAAAATAATGGATGTGTGTGTAAAAATCTCAGATTTTACATGTTCATATCATATCCTAGCCTGAGTAGGAAACAACGTTATTGTTTATCAAAATTTACTAAATGAACATTTCAACACTGGTTTCAAAAGTCATAAGTGACTTAGTACTTAAGCTTTATTTTGGGTTGGAGTTTGAAACAAGTTATTGTTACACCAAGTTGTTGTCCTAGTTGATTATCTTTCTCAATCAGCATTTCAGGATGTAACATTACACATCCAAAGATGGATAACTTGATCCATTTTTGCATGCTTTGAACATCTTGTCCTTGTTTGTTGACCTGAATCTTCTGGAATATTTATCTACCTTTATCTATTTATGTATTTATTTTTTTGCTACATAGAATATTGGTTATGGTTGACTTGCTCATGAAAACATTTATTTCTACACTAAAATGCCTACTGTTGGAATCAATGCTTGCACTTGGAATTTCTTTGCTGTGTAAACAAACAACATATTTTAATGACAGTGATACTTCTATGCATCTTTGTTTTGTAACACACTGTGGTTTTACATAACAGTAACAGAAATCACTCTGATTACTTCTTGATATCTGCTATAATTTATACGTATATCCCAGTTGTGAAGATCGCTATCAGAAAAAGTATCATAAACTGATAATCACCGTAAGTGAAGGTGGTTTTCAGAAAAATTGTCATAAACCAGTACCCAGTGTGAGTGTAGGTGTTTTGTGTTCAATAATTGTCTCGTTTCTTATGATTGACCTCTACTTGATTCTTGTTGAGTCATGTATCGATTACTGAATCATGCTTCTATAGAAAATATATATTGGTTATAATCGATAGCTTTTTAATATACAGGTTATTGATTAAATTTCCCAGTGTGAAGATTTGTCTACATGAAAAATCACCCAGATTGTGATTAATCCAGACTTATGAGCATTTTTTATATTATTAAAAATTAATAATACAATGTAAATAAAGCAGGAAACCAAGTTTTTAATGCATTAGTTCTATTTATCTTCTTGCATTCATGTATACTCTTACATCCATCCTGCTGTTCACTTTGCTGTGTAATGTTTAATATCTTAATATTTAGGTTCAAGATATGGAAGAAGGGTCATCATCAGAAGATGAATCTGATGAGCGTCCCCAAAAACCTCCGAGTCCTCCTCCTCAACCCCCAAAGGAAGCACCACCTCTTCCCCCTCCCCTTCCTCCTCAACCTGGACATGTGGTGGTTAGAAAAGATTATGACCCAAAAAGTAAGATTTAATAAAGTACATTGTTCATCATTTAAAATTTTAATGTGTTTTTGTGTTGACACTACTTATCAAATGTGGTCTCACACAGTATTATTTTTAGTATATTTGAATGCAGTCTGTTATGAACTTTGTCCTTTCTTTTTTAAAAAAAAATACATGGTTGTGCTGCTGTTTGATGCACAGAATAGTTTTAGAAACTTTTGACTTGTGACCAGTCATCTGTGAGCTAGCAAACTGGGTTTTAAACTGCTCATAATTGGCCTATAAAATATTAAGTATTACATTTAAATTATATTTTTTGTAAATATTATCTATTAAAAATATGATTTTAATGGAGAGTCTGTTTTGACTCATGTTTCTGCACACTTTATTTGCATTTTGTTTAAGATAATTTCTACCTTTCATTGCAAAAAAAAAGTGTCTACTAGATATTACTTTAAAACAGGAATAAAACATTATGAACTGTTGTGTTCAATCTGTAACTAAACTAAACCCAACAGGAAGTGTATGACTAGACTTTGTAACCAAAGGCAGTTTATTAAATGGCACTTTGATTTAGCTTCAACATTCGTTTATGTAAGGTCACATTTCTACATTTGTGTTTTACTAAAAAATAAATATAAAGCTTGCTTAAACTAATATCTGAAATCAACTTTCCTTTGAAATATTAAGCGTATTCATTCTCTTTTTTACATTTTTATATATATATACACACACACACACTCATTTTCTGCAATCACATTGCTTTTTCTGTAATGTAGTTTTTGTTTTAATGAGGTGTGGCTACTTACATAATTTGGTTGGTTATTGTGTAGGGAAATAGTTAGCTTGGGTCTATTTAATTTGAAAACATAAAATGTAAGTGATGTAATTTAGTAAATGTTTTAGACCTAATAAGTGTATAATTTCTCTTAACATAGGTGCAAAAGCCCAGAAAGCAGCCAGTGATCAGTATCTTATTTCTCCAATCACTGGTGAAAAAATTCCTGCTGATAAGTTGCAGGATCATGTAAGAATTGGTAAGTGGTTTGTTTCTAATCAGTATTAGTTTTAAAGGAAAAATCACTGATTTAAATGTTGTAAATACTTTTTAATTTGATAAGTTATAATCTTCAGTTTCAGAAATCTGTTATAAATTGATGTTTGTCTAAAATTCAAACAAGCATGTTAATATAAAGATTAATAGTCACGTATTTGAAATAAATACAAATAGCATACTTGCGTAAAGAAAACGTAATGGAAAAATGATTAACTAAATATAAAAGCATAACACAAAGTACAAATAATAATAATAATAACATTGAAATGTCTACCATAATTTATTAAGTGGGGCATTATTTAGGTAACTGAAAATTTGTGTTGAACTTTGTTCATTTTGCAATCATACATCTTTGATTTAATTTTGATAGTATACATTGTTTGATATTTATATCCTGAGGTAGTGTTAGATGACTTTGGCATATTAGGGTAGCTTTATATTGTTACATTGATTGTGAAAATGTTCTAATACTTGCATGTTTAATTTTGGCTAGGTTTACTGGATCCACGCTGGGTTGAGCAACGAGATCGCTCTGTGCAAGAAAAGTTGCAACAGGAAGAAGTGTATGCAGCAGGTAAAATTTACCACTTGTTATTTATAGTAATACAACTCCAATTTTGACAGAATTAATTTTCGTTGTTTATGACTTATCAAATCAACCTTTAACAATGTTTTGTTTATTATGATGATGGAATAGTGGAAAAAATAATTGAAATGAATATCTGTTATATGATTAGTGAGTTTTGTCCCATCATCATTGTCTATACTGTTATTTATGATACATTAAATTGTTTTGCTTATATTACCTTTAATAATTTAAAATATTAAGTGCAAGTATATAATGGGCAAGGAGATTTAAAACTGAAATATTTTCAAGTTATAAACATAATTACCTAAAGCCATCTAATCTAAAATCATTCTCTCTCTCTTTTTTTTTTTGTCTTTTAACCCTCTCGCTGCAGGCATCCTTTTCTGTGCATGTCACAAATTTTTAGTGAGCTACATTCAAAATTTAATTAAATTACTTTCTTATCATGGTATATAAATAAACTTGGCACAGAAATATAGCTAATAATCCAAATTTTAATATATAAATCTAAGTTCTTAAATTTTTAAGGTAATATTAAAAAAATATCCTGAAGTTCCTGTAGTATGAGAATTGTGACATTTGCTCTTCTCTAATTTATTTACCACCCCTTCAAGAAGTACGAAAATTAATGTAACTTACTCATTATGATATTGTCATCACTCAGGCAAAGCATAATTTTTATAGCCTTCAATTTTATTTGGTTAACAGTCATAAAACAGAAAATCAAACCCCTCTTGCCATACCCATCTGTCACATCCTCTCTTTCAGAAATTACTAATAGTTCTCTGATGTTCAACACTATTTTTTACTCATAGAAAGCCAAGGTTTTAATCTATCAAATGATGTATTATATTACATTGTTTGCTTTACAGAGAATTGTCAATTTTGCTTCTAGTTCAAACTATTCCTACAGGAAACAGCTCTTTTCACATAGTTGGAAATCCAGAAAAATTGTGATAGTTATAGGGCATTTTTTGCATGTTATTATTCTGTGTTCTTTGGTGCATTATATAATTAAATAAAACACGTAGTGCAGTAGTACCATTAGTATAAAAAAAGGGTTAAGTTTCATCGACAGTTGACAGCAAAAAAAAGAAGACCCAGGTAAGTACCACATTTGTTGTTTTTCATGTGTATGCTTTACTTATTGTTATAAAAGTAACTAAACTAAAATTTATAAACTTTTTAGGTTTGATTAGGTAATATGAATAATAATATCTTTTTTATGAAGTATGCTCACAAGTATCCCATGCATTATGTAGTTTGATAGGGTAATGTGAGCTGCACATCTGCCACGTGATTTACAACTTCTGTGGTAGGAATATTAGTTAGACATGGATCAAAGGGCAATAAAACAATAAAATTTAAATATAAACAGATGTATACTGTTACAAGTTTAAAGCTATTTAAAGTCATTCTAGAATGATAAAAGGGTAATTTAGATAAATTGACCAACCTTATGTAGAGTTAGGGTAGAGAAAATAACATAAAATATAGTTTTACTGGACCTAGAAACTGGGTTTCAATATCTGTGGTGGGCAGAGCACCGATAGCCCTTTGAGTAGCTTTGTGCTTAACTACAAACAAACAAAAGTTTTACTGAAAGGAACATGTGAAGTTTACTTAGGAGGTTTTAGACATTATGCAAATGAAATTGGAATTTTTCAGATGAAGAAAAGTATTTTTAATCTTAACATGAAAATCACTGAAGCAGTCAACATTTTGACTTAATATATTCATGGAGAAATATTTAGTGAAACTACTTCATTAAAAATTCTGATTTTTTGGGTGTATAAATTAATTATTGCTTACTGAAAGCTTTTAAAATTTTGTGGAGATGCACAAAACATAACACTTAATATAAAAAAATATAAATGTCAGTTTGAGATTCATTTTTAGGTTGAATCAACCGAGCTTGTAGCGAGAGAGTTAATATACACTTATATTACTGGGTGATAATAAGATATGGTGGGTATTTAGCACTCTTAAATTTAAATTGTACATGGTAAGATAATGGATCTTTGAAAATAAGCACAGCAGACTATGACAGAATATTCAGCAATTATTTAGTTTATTACATGATTAATGAAAAGTAGAGCTACAAAATCTAGCAAAAACTTGACAATCACTTTTGTAGTAGCTGTGCTGAAATTTCAAGTTCATATACTACTTTTACAACGTTACTATTTCAATATCAGTAATGCAGAGATAACCTAGATGACATATAGGGCACTTCAAGATAAAAATGAATAAGTGATCAGCCAATGGTCACCTTTAACCACCACTTATTGTTTGTTAAAACTAATTTTAGCATTAGTATTTTGAACAGTTATTAACTAACTTCATAATCTCTGTGTATTCTTGTGTTATCCTGTGTATACTTTTATCGTATATTTATGGGAAGATAAAATTAATAAATTATTTTTTGAGATCTTTGTTTTTTACACGCAAACATTTAGGGTCAGCTATTGAAAGCAGTTTGAAACAGTTTGCTGAGAGACGAACAGATATCTTTGGTGTTGGGGTTGAGGAAACTGCTATTGGTAAAAAGGTAAGGATTCGGGGTATTTTCTTAATATGCTGTTTTGTTTGTTGTTTTTTTAACTGTTGATTTGATATAGAAATCTTCATTGGAAGTCAAGAATTTCAGGTGAAATAATTGACATCCTTGGGATGCTTATTATGCCTGTTAGACCCAAGATTTTTCTGTCATGTTAGGTTCTGAATAATCCTGTCAGTTTCAAGTTGTGGTTGCTTCTCACAGTTAACAGAATATTTGCAACAGCATGATATTGTTTTTAAGCAGTAAGATTGAAGAGTATTTGGTATTTCCTATACTTTTTGATTTTAAGAAAACTTTGCTTTAGAATAAAAATGGTCATTTGGCTAAAACATGGATCATATATTTATCTCTAATTTGGTGAAAGCATTGTTTCTGTATTTTTCTTCCCATTATAGTAGTTTCAACCAGGTCTCTGTATTTTCAGGTTTTATAATACTTAAGATACATTTCAATTGTTAAATGTACTTAGTTGAGAATGTTTCATTGACATTACCCTTCATTTTAATTTCCTTAACTTTCTGTCTTTAATACTCAACTACATTTTTCTTCTCAGTTTACATTAAGATTTGGTCACTTTAAAAAGAAAAAGCTAAACATAATATTTACAGTTATTTCATTAGTTCTCGCTAGAACTATGAATCAATCCTGCAAGGAAATAAGGTGAAATTCAATTATAATGGTTGTTTGCAATTAGAAAACTTGGTTGCTGATATTCTGTTTCTGTAGTTTCTGCTTTTTACTTATTTCAAAACATAATCACATAAATATGTTCTAGTGTATGGTAGTTTTAATAAGATGTTATATGTGCCCCCTCTCCAAATTTTACTATAGCATACTTGTAGTTCCAGAATATTTAGAAATATTTTTTTTTTAAGTTAACTTGTTGGTGAAATGTGTAGCAGTTAAAATATTTTAATATTTATATTTTCAAGAATTGTAGGCCTTATTCTTATGCAAGTTCATAATTTGATGTCAACTTCCAGTTTTGTTTTAAATTTCTGTGCATGCACAGCTTTGACATTGTATCACAGTTGTACAGAAATATATGTTCTTGGATAGTTGAGAAAACATCACTATGACCTTTAAGCTTTTACCATACCTGAATGTTCCTAAAAATACATGTATAAACAGTTTTAAAAAGTATAATGATCCATTATTTATTGTTAATTTCTGAAAGTTTATTTTGCTAAAAAATTGCTACCAACTCTTATTTCATGAAAAGCTACTCACTGATGCAGTAATAAGCTGTCAAAGGATCCAAGTCATGTTTATTATTAACTTTTATTTATTACTGTATTAAAATAATGTATACTTACTTCAAGAAATACCCAAATATTACAGTATTAAAACTACAAAATTTTAATGTACCCCATATTCAGTAACTAACAGGAGTACTTGATATTTAAATATACTTTATACAGATGTTTTATAAAATATAACTTGATTTACTGGTGCAATAAATTAAAGAATTAATGAAATGTTAAAGGTAATGAATAAAAAGTATTTTTATATCTGATAACAAAATGCTGCTGTAGATTAAAAATATCTGAAATAAGTTACTGTAAAAATCTAATTAATTAGCTATACTCATTATCAGATTGATTTTTAGTTTCCCTCTAAGTAGGTAGCTTGCTTTGATTGGAAGTTAATAGTGATAACATGTAACAAATATAATCCCCATTTATAGAACATATCAGGGACTTCAAAGTCACAATCTTCAATTCTCTGAAAAAAAAACCATTGCAGTGTATATAATTAATGACACCTCAATCAATGACCAGTTTGTTTAGCTTGAGATAATTTGTGAAATTGCTTTGTGTAAAGTTTGGAACTTGTACATGATACAAAAAAGTGTTGCTAAACAAAAATAATTCTACCATACTTGTTTCTGCAATTTGACACATTTCTGATGTGAATGCCCCACTTAGTATTACAAAAGGTCTTATTTGTGGGTCTAGTGAGGTGTGAAGGATATGTAATTTGAAATTTTAAAAGTCCATGCAAATTAATTAGCATTTTATATGAATATGTTTTGAGATAAAATTATTATTAAAAGTTTCAAATCAGCTCACTTAAGTTTGTTATTTACTACCAAATTTAGTGTAATTTCTACTGCATGTTTATATTGTAAATAACATCGCTTTAATATATATCACTCTTACTGAGTAGTTTTTTTTTAAATAGTCATAGAGAGGCATTTTGGTTTGTTAGTGAATATATCCCTTTTTCTTTTCTTAAAAAAGATTCCCAGAAATATTGATATACTTAGTAGAGTGGTAACAGTAAAATGATAAGCATTTTTCATTAGATTGGTGAAGAAGAACAGAAAAAACCAGAGAAGGTAACTTGGGATGGACACACAGCTAGCATGGAGGCTGCTACTAGAGCTGCTCGAGCCAACATTACCATTGAGGAACAGATTCAGCAAATTCATAAGATTAAAGGATTACTGTAAGTTTACATTCTTAAAAGTGTTTTTTTTTGTTGTTGTTGCATTTTTATATATTTTCTTCTGCTGAACCAGTGTTTTATTGTTTGGTATTTCTTGAAGAAACAAAAGAATACTATTAGGTATTGCTAAATATAATATGGGAAAGACACCAGCACATGTAAGCTTATGCCTCTTTAAACAATAGTTGTAGAGCTCCCTCCTTTTTTTAAGAACATTTTGATCTATTAGACTTGTGTATTACTGATGTCTTATTGTATTATTTTCAGACCTGATGAAGAAAAAGAGAAAATTGGACCCTCTAAACCTCAAGACAATGCACCACCTCTGCCTCCACTTCCACCCAATCCACCTGTTTCCTCTATGTCTTTATCTTCTCAAGCTTCAGCCCTAAGACCACCTCCCCCTCCATCAACTTCTGCTTCCCCATCTTTGCCTAAACCTGTAGCTCCTATCAACCAACCCCCATCAACATCATCTGATAATCCTCCCATGACTATGAACACTCAAAGACCTCCCATGCCACATATGCCCCTACCCCCACAACCTGGAGGACCAATGATGATGCATCCTCCACAGCCCATGATGGGTCCACCACCTCAAGGTCTCTTAATGACTCCAATTGGAGGACCTGGAGGACCCCCACCACATCATATGGGTCCACCACCAATGATGGGTAAATTTCAAACATTGTATTAAATGATATTTCATATTTTATTTATAATACAAATCTCAAATTAGTTTTCTGCATATTTTAATCTTTAAAAACAAATCTATTTGCATACGTTTTTGATTCCTTTCTTAATTTTTCTTAATACACTTCATTATCCTTAAATGATTCTTTAATGTCCTTATTTAGTTTGTAATTTTTTTTCCAGTGTTTGCATTTGATATATATGTACGTGCACATGAGGTTCTTTTAGAAAATTAATCAATTATTGAAGTATTACTTTGTTCTAGATGTAATTTTCAAACTGATGGCAGAAGGTAATTTACTTTTGTTGACTTAAGCAATTGTTAAAAGTATTAACAGCATGTTCTAAAACATAATATAAAATAGACATAAACTATTTTAAAGTGGATAAACATAAGGAAATATGAAAAAACACTGAAATGAATATTTTAAATTTTGTTCTGTTAAAGTATTTAATAATTACTCATTATTTTGATATTATTTTTATACTTACACAAGTGTTGATTAAATGACTAGTGAATCTTTTTTTTTTCTCAAGCTGGAACATGATTTAAAAGCATTAAGAGAACAGCAGTAGTGAAATTCTTGGTTATATTGACAAATACTGTTTGTTACTCTGTCATTTTTTTAAAGTAAATTCTATACATGAAATTAATTTTTTTTATAATCTGGGTTTGTATTTGCTTCAAGACTTTAGTTTCAATAATATTTACAAATTCACTTTATTTCTTCAGTTTGTTTTAACTATTGTTGGAAATTATTTTCCCTGAAAGTATATTTTTTTAATCAGAGCTATCCTGAATTTAAATGTATTGTCAGTACTTTGGGCTTTTTTACACCACCACCTTCTCTGGGAGTAAGTTGCATAATGGTAATGAGATTGCTTTACTCTTTTAGCTATACATCAACAGCATTCTCTTGGTCCTGGTGGGCCTTTTGGACCTCCGGTGGGAATGCCCCAACCTCCACCGCCAGATATGTCTATGCAGAACTCCACTTTGAAACCCCTCTCCCAGATGAATGAGGATGAAGAACCTCCTACTAAGAAACAAAAAACAGAAGAGTCACTGATACCAGAAGATGAGTTCCTTCAGAAAAATAAGGTGTGTGTGTGTGTATATGTGTGTGTGTTCAGAGATGTGAGTATATAGTAGAATAATGAAATATTTGATTTGTAGCTATCAGTAAGTTAGGCTCGTTTATTATTCAAAAGAATATTTGGATAAACATGAAATTATGGTACGTTATTTTATTCGAAAATACTTATTAGGTTAAAACTAAAAATAAAATTACCATCTAATTTCCTTTAGGTTATAAATTTACAACATTGTAAATCTGCCTTGCTTATTTTATCTAGTAACATTATTTGTCTTTAGAGTAATTTTTTTATAGTAATGTTAAAAAACTTTAACGTGAAATTTTCTTCCCACAGAGTCCAGTTTCTTTCAGAGTTCAACTTCCCAACATTTCTGACAAAGCAGAATGGAAGTTGAATGGACAAATTGTGACATTGACATTGCCTTTAACTGATATGGTAAGTTAATTTTGTCCTTAACTTGAGTGAAAACTACAATTACACTGTATTAACATTTGTTTTCAATTAAAGAGAAGTATATAATTACTTATGGAATTTATAATTATTAGCCTCATGACTACAAACTATAGCCCAAATAGAAAATGGATACTTATATTTTTTTCTTGCATATTGTATGCACAGATTAGATGCAATATTTTACAAGGTCAAATCTAGACCAATCTTGAGACTATTGGTTGCCTCAGTTGTAAGGATATCAGATATCATGGGAAATTATTATTTAATTGTTTCATTTGAATTTTCTTATCTAACTTGATAAATAGAAAACATACATAAAAAAATTTAGTACTTTCACCTTGGTTTGGACAGTTTGTTATCAAGGATGAGGCACATTAACCAGCTTTTTTATGACTGTTGTCCACAAAGTAATTTAAGTTTATTTCAAATATGCATTTTAGAAAGAAAAATTATAAAGTATTACAGTAAAATATCCAAAAACTACTAGATTTTATCTGGCCTTCTAACTAAGCTATAAGTAGGTTAAAAGAATTCTGTTAGTTGCTTTAAGTTGAACATCACAATCACAAACAATGAAACTGAGGGCAAATAACTAATTAAAAGGTGCAAAAAAATTAATTTTACAAAGAATCTCGTTAAGAAAAAATTTTATGTTGATCATAAGTAATTTATTAGCCATGTCAGAAAGAATTGTTGACATTTCTTGATAGACAGAATGGTCACATGTACGTTTGACAGTTTATTTTATATTTCAGTCAAGGAAGAAGATTGGAAATTCTAAGTGTATATTCTGGCTTATGAATATTTATAGTAATGAGTTTATAATTAATTAGAAATTTAAACCTGTAATAGGGTAGGAAGAATCTAAAATTTGAGCACAAGGGCAATCACATAACACAGACAAATTATGATTGAAATTTATTCAAATATTTTCTTTTGAAATTAAGAAATTAAATCTTGGATAATATAAAAATTTGCATTATAAACTATGTTTTGATGCTGAGCTTATTGACTTACATGAACAATAGTTTTTTTACATTTTGAATGTAACTTTGTGAAAGGTCATGACATGCACACTTTGACTCTGCAGTAAACATAGGGTTAATAAGTATGCCATTTTTTGTTCTATGTATAAAACTTTTGGAACATGAAGGTTCAGACACTCCTCGGATTTACTTACTATCTGATTCTATATTGATGGTATAATAGATAGTATTTGTATACTGAAACTTTTACCAGTGTATTAATGTTCTAGTATTAACATTCCTATAAATATAAATTTTCCACTTTTTTTAATTCTCTGGAAAAACCTGTCATGTCTCATATCTTAAGCACAAATTTCTAAAAGATGAATTTCTTTATTTCTTCTTTTTTGCACAGGTTTCTGTTATTAAGGCTAAAATCCATGATGAAACTGGTATGCCACCTGGAAAACAAAAACTGCAGTATGATGTAAGTAACAAAAGTTGAACATATTTTTTACTTTTTGTAAGAATACAGATAAAAACTACAATTTTTTAGGATATTTTTATATATCCAGTAAAACATTACACTTAGTGTGATATTAGAACTTGTCAGAAAACATTAAGGTTGTATTTAATATATATTTTGAGAGACATTTATTGATATGATTGTGTATATGTTAATTTGCACTAGAGGCCCGGCATGGCCAGGTGGTTAAGGCGCTCAACTCGCAATCTGAGGGTCGCGGGTTCGAATCCCTGTCACACCGAACATGCTCACCCTTTCAGCCGTAGGGGCATTATAATGTGACGGTCAATCCCACTATTCATTAGTAAAAGAGTAGCCCAAGAGTTGGCAGTGGGTGGTGATGACTAGCTGCCTTCCCTCTAGTCTTGTACTGCTAAATTAGGGATGGCTCGCTCAGATAGCCCTCGTGTAGCTTTGCGCAAAATTAAAAAAACAAACAATTTGCACTAGTAAATTTATGAAGTGAAAATATTATTTTATGGCATTATTAAGTTATAAAATATTAATTAGAAATTTGTAGTAATTATATAAATGTTGAATTAATTTTAATCTGAAATAATTTTTTACTACTGATGAATATATCACTTTAATGCTTTCCAGCCTGGTGGTGGTTATATTGCCACAATTGACTGTGAATTAATAAAAACTAATAACTCATAAAAGTCACCATATATGAAACAAACACTTCAAACACACGGCATGAGAAGAGGCTATTGGAAATGAATTGTTTTTTGTTTTTTTTATAAGTTTATGATTCATAATAGAATAAAAAAAACGTTACATAATATAGCTATTTACTATGCAGTTACACATGATTCACATAACTGTTAACCTGAAAGCCAGTTTTCATACATATAATATAGTAGGCTTAAGAATGTCATACACTAAACCACTATTGACAGGAAAGGTGCAATACAAAATTGTCTAAAGAACTAAAACTAATGTGAATAGATAGTCTTTATTTTACTGTTTAATACATAAAATTTCCGAGTCTTCCTTTTATGTATGTCTGTTGAAAAAGTATATCACGATCTTTAGCTTTGCTCGTTGGCAATGCTAGCCTTGAATTATAAAACTTCTGATTTCTTGTTTACTAAAAAATTACCTACCAAGACAGTTATTTCCATAAAATAAATAAACATGGAAGGAAACTCATTTATTATATTCCTATAACATGTGTACATATATATAGAAAACCATTACTAACATACAAGACAAAAGCTGTTCTTAGCCTTAGTATATGCAGTAAAATGCATGCACATTGTGTTATGTTTTGAAAGAAAATCATATTGCCATAAATTTGCATCTGATTTATGGGATGGGTGAGTTCTAATGATTTTCATGTACATACAGCACTAGAATATCAACATTAATGGGACTAGCTTAACACAATAAAAAAAAACAACTTTATAGGTTCCTGGTAACTTTATTTAATCATTATACATAACATAAGACAAGTCACATAGACTGGACAAATAGCATATGTGGTGAGTGGTAAGAACAATGTTTTATTATTCTACATTATAAAGAAAGGCAGACAACTTATTAGTACTACTACTACTACTAATGATAATAGACACCTGTAAAATACATGGTACAATGTGTGCAGTAGTTTGACTTTGAAGAGAAAATTGCACACAAGATAAGTAGTAAGTGGTTATATGATAGTGATATGTATAGAGGATTATTTTCTAACAGGTTCCCAGGTATGAAATAACTAATGTTCAGTTAGTTCCTTACACAGTGTGAAAATGTTTATAATAAACTTGGTGTAAGCTTTCCAGATATCTAAAATTTGTGGCAATAAAATAGTTTGAAGTGTTTTTTTTTTTTACACTTTCAAATAAAACAAATCCTTAATAACATGCATTATAAAAGCATTAATAACTTTCCTGGGCATGGCATAGTGGTTGATGTATTGGGCTACAAATTGAAAGATCTGAGGTTTATGCTTCACACTTCCAGCTGTGGGTATCCTATTATTTCGGCAAAAGGGTTTGATCCAGCCATTTAATCCATGTTTGTATAAGGTGTCACTCAGGGTGAAAATACCAATAATTGTCCAAGACTACATGAATAATTGTTTTTAATTTTGCAGTTTTAAAATTATAATTTTAAGTAAAATTTAAGTTAGTCTTTTTGTATTTGTGTTTCAGAAATGTTATTTATATATATTTCCTAATAGGGCATGTTCATCAAAGATTCCAACACTTTGGCATTTTACAATGTGTTACCTGGAGGAACTGTTGTGCTGCAGCTGAAGGAAAGAGGAGGAAGAAAGAAGTAAACGTGAAGGAGAGAAAGTATGAAACAGTGTAATTCTGGAGAATTAGCTGCAACTTTGTATTTGTTCAAAATCTAAGATCAATATGAATTACTGGTTTAAAACAGATTACTGTGGATGTTGATTCTGTTTTCCAAGGCAACGTGTTTTATGTTCTTTGTAGTTTTAAACACATTTTTCCTGATAAAAGTTTTGTCTTGAAAAATGTATGAAAATCTAAATTTTGTTGTTGTTTTTTTTTCAGAGTACACTTACACCAAACATGAAATGTTTTATTACTTTTACGAAGTAACTACAATTAGAATACTATTATAAACATTTCTAGGTTAATTCTTGTGTAAGGTAGTGTAGCAATGTGGGTTATATTGTAATTGCTTTGTAGAGCTAAAGCATCCCAACTATGTATGTGTTATTATGGTTATATTAATGTTGCATAAAAAGATTTGTTCTTATATGTTAATCTGGAAAAACTATTTGAGTATAAAGTACATTATTTTTTCTTTAGTGTGAAAATAAACATTCTTGAGGGTGGTTATCATTAATAAATAATGTGATGGCAGAGAAAAACAGTTTGTCATACCAGGATTTTTGTATTTAACTAGCTATATCCCAACCTACTAAAGACCATGTTTATTTTTCCTTTGAGCTTATCACATTATATACATTCTGTTTTCAACCATACTTGTGAACATTATTTTATGCTTTTTACTATTGTTGATTTATTGTAAACTGGTATCCACTGTGTTATGTAGTCAATATTTTGAGGGTGAAAAACAAGTATGAGAATTTATCTTCTATTAAAATCAGTTGAATATATGAATGAGTGATAGTATAAACATATGTTTAAATTACAGTTATGACTACTAAAAGTCAGTTTGTATTAAACTCTCTTAGCCTAAGTTTAAATTTTCTTCAAATTACATTATAAATTGTAATGGAACTGAAGTTCCAAATTTATTTTAAGGTATAGTAGACTATACTGTACTTGGACGAATTTTTAAACACTATATTATTTATTTATTATAAAATGTGCATGCAAACAAAAATTTGGTAGTTACAGCCAAACTCCAAACATACTATAAGATACATTGTGTTTTCAAGTACAACATAAGCTGCATGGAAATTCAGGATTTTAATATAGTATACAACTACATTGAATTCTTGGTTCCAAATGCAGACTATTCTACACTGGCATTCATGTTCAAAATGTCATATACAAATATATTTCTGGTTCTAAGTACTTTAAAACAGTACACCGAAGTTCAGGTTCTAGATGGTCAATAGGAATATGTTGAATTTTTGGCTACCCTAATTTAGATGTGTTGACATTGATGAAAAGTCGTACTACTTCTCCAACTTAATCCAGTTCACACCATAAAACGGTTATTCTCAAGTAATTTCCTAATAGAAATAGAAACTGGAATACACAGCTTTTTACATTAAGTTGTGATATGTATTTACAGTTACCAGCTTGGCAATGATAAAATGATACAATATAGATAATAAGCTATCTTTTTCATTGGTTTTCCTTATGTGTGGTATTGCTTTATTGAGAACTATTTCTGTATCGTGATTTGAAAAAATAAAATAGAATATGATATTCTGGAACAGGTCTCTGTTGTTATTGTTTGTGGGCAGATGTGTTATGAGTATACAGCAACATTTTTTGTATAAGCTACTGGAACTAACTGGAGTTTTTGAGATTTGGTGTACAAGTTAATTTGCTACAAATGTATCTACAATATATAAATGTATTAAGTGTTTCTTTTTTTTTGCTTTTTATAAACTGAACTTGGCTGAGCATACATTTTGAATACTAGTAACATATAACTGCAAAAGTTACTACTACTACAGCTTTTATAACCCTACTGAATATTTATTTAATAATTTGAAGGTTTAACCTAGTACATAGTTATTTGAGGACCTAGTATGTTACAGGTAAAATGAGAGAGACAGGACATGTGTTGAAGTCAAAATAAGATTGAAACTATTTTCTGGAGACAAGATATTGACGGTCACAGACAGGCATTGAAGTAAGACTATTGTATTGAAGACTTAAAACTAAATGAGTAAACTGAAGACGTTTATTCTTAGTTGAACTAAAATGAAATGGTCATCAGTTACGGAAGTATTGAAATAATGATCAAACTTCTATGACAAGTATTGCTTTCAAGTTCAAACGAATCTCGTTTAAAAGTGCTAAACTAGATTGACATTACATCTTTTTAGCTGACCAGTCAGAAAACTAGATCATAGGATCCCAGAAGCATCACTGATCCTTGTGATAGTGTAGTATTTTCAGGTAAAATGCATTTCCTGTAAGAGTGACTAGTCTGCTAAATAATGGGAGATTTGTAAAGATAACTAATGTGAAATAATTTATATTTTCTGACCAAGTTTAATAGAAATTGAGACTAAACACAAATATACAGTTAAAATTATCTGTATTTAAAACATGCAAGGAAAATATCTACTCTACTTCCCACAGTGGACAGTTACCTTTACTGGAGAATTCTGAGGTTGTCTTTCTATTAAACTGTTTCAAGCTTATTGGGTTGTGATCTTGTGCTAGACTGAATAAATCATGTCATCTGCCAGAGTGACTGGTCATTCCCAATGAAATACAAGAGATTGATTATCTGCCAATAGAAAATTTAATTTCACATACGAGGATCTCGCAGCTGTTTTTCTCACAGAAGACAAAAGCTGCTGCTATAGGTTAATGACAGAACAGTAGGTGACTAGGGCAAAAGGAACTTGACAACCTTCTTGACTAATGTGTTAAGTGGAAACTGCATACAGAAATTTCTATATTAATACAAGGAAGTAAAAAAACACATGGTATGCTTATAACATCACAACAGTTGCGAGGTAGTGATAGAGAATGCAATGTATCTATCCCATGACACAGCAGATAACTTCTTTGACCAGACTGGCTATAGAAAGTAACACCTCAGACTGAATTTAGCCAATGACCTCAACAAGCTTTAAGATCTTCCAGATTATAGCTTGGAGAAATTGAAAATATTTGTAAGTATGCAATATGCAGTATTTAGATACTGTTACGTCTCCGTTTCGTTAATTGATTTTTCCGTAACTTCGTTCCGACGAAATTTT